GTTTACTAACGTTTACAGTTACATATTACATTTTTCCGGCAGTCGATGTACATTCTAAATTAATTTATGGCCGTAGATAAATTAAAGTACATTTATACATTTTAGATTATTCATACAATATACAGATTGAACCAAATTAAAACGGAACATACAATTTAATACATGTATGTTTGAACTGCATTTGAAATAGTGGACCAATATAAAACTTGGACAAAAATAAATCCATACCTGGGTATAGACATTGTATAAAATATCGTTCAACTATCTGTCTCACAACAAAGTTGTTTGCGTAAGACGGGTTTGTCTAAGGAGGCGATAATAGTTCAGGAAATGAAGCTCGAAAAAGTTAAAACCTCGCAATTTTTTCGTCCGGCATGTATCCAGTTGAAGTTTTCGCAGAAGGTAGGTAATAGCCCGAGGATCAAAATCTATATCGAACCGAAATGCGCTGAAGGGTTTTAGGGGTGAAAACTACCCCTAATTGCCAAAAACTATAAAATAACATATTAAACCTGAATATGGGTAAGATTTGGTTTGAATTAGTTAAATAATGATTATTTTATACTTTTGAATAGAGTTCCATCATATTTCAACCCTTAAAAAGCAACCCTTGTTAGAGATTAATGTAAAAAATTACTAATTCTAAAAAAATGATTTCGCCTTGGATAAAAATTTGGATTTAAGCTCAATTCAGCCGCTGCTTTATAGTTTATGTCATGTCGACGAACCCTGATTGTTCTTAGGGGTGAGAACTACCATTAATTGTCAAAAATTATAAAATAACATATTAAACCTGAATATGGGTAAAATTTGGTTTGAATTAATTAAATAATGATCGTTTCGTGCTTTTTGAATAAAGTTCCATCATATTTCAACCCTTAAAAAGCGACCCTTATTAGAGATTAATATAAAAAAAATAGTAATGCGAAGAAAATGATTTCACCTTGGAACGATTTGCATAAAAATTTGGAATTAAGCTCAACTCACCCTCTGCTTTATAGTTTATGTCATGCCGATGAACCCTGATTGTTCTTAGGGGTGAAAACTACCCTTAATTTTAAAAAATTGTAAAATAATATTACAAATGTTAAAATGAGTGAAATTTGGTTTGGATTAGTTAAATAGTGAGTTTTTTATACTTTAAAATACAAATTCATATATTTTCAACCCTTAAAAATCAATCGCTATGAGTGCTATAGATGAATTTTTTGCCGAAATTTTGCAACTTTTCAACTTTTGAAAATCACCCTTTACAACATTGCAGTTTTAATAAACTAATTTATAAGATATAAATTGAAAAAAGTAGAAATAAATACAAAAAAAATTATCAACATAAAAAGGCACCATATATTCTTATACATTTACATAATTAGTTGAAAATATTTACATTTATATGTAAAACAATTATAATAATAATTTTATTCGTCATCAATTACATCTTCATCGTGATCTATGTCATCCTCATCTTCTTCAATTATTGGTGGACTGTTATTGCACCCTTCACCTGAGCACCCAGAATAAGTAGAGTTACAGTATAAACCAACTTTTCTGCACTCATATGAAACGCCGCATCTTTTTTTGCATTGGCAAAAAATAATTTTCAAAAATTTATCGGGTGCAGGTTGTTTGTTCATGCGTACGGGTAATAACAAACCATCTTTGGAATATCATCCCCAATCTGTGGCTCTGATATTTTCATTGCCAAGCCATAGACATATGAGCAGATGTTTTATTCTGTTGTATGGGATTTCAAAATAAGAACGCTTAAAATTTCGAATGTATAACGCCCCACTAGCTAATATACCGGTTTTGTAGATTATTATGCTCCGAAATGTACTGTACTATACTAATGGAATTTTCCGGAAAAAAATTAACTGGTTTTTTTAACGTATTTCCTTTAATTTTTAACGATAGAACGTTTCTTCAAAATCGATTTGTAGAGGTTTTTATTAGCTACAAGGATCTGTAAATTAAATATTTTTGGAACCCTTGGTTTTTAAATGGGGTGAGTTTAAAGGGCTCGAAAAAGATGGTGACGATCGTAAATCGATGCTTTAAACGGCTATATCTCGCCAAATATTCATTGTACAACAAATCTAAATGAAGTATATTTTAGTCATTAAAAAAGCTACAATTTGGTAATTTTTATTTTTTTCATATATTCAGTATTTGTGGGCATATTTAAAAAAAGAAGGGTAAAAAATATGAAATTGTAAATCGTTTCTCGCTTTAAGCTGTACTTTTTCTAAAACTAAGCATTTTTAATGGGTCAAACTTCTTGGACGTATTAACAATACATCTACAAAGGGAATTGCAGAAGGGTGAAGATCGATTTTAATTATGGGGGTGGTAAAAGGTGTTGTTTTCCTCGATTTTTTCGTAAAAAATGAGGTATTGACCTTATTTTTTTATGATAGGTCTCTTTATGCTTTTTAAAAAAGGTTTTGTGAGTTTTCTTCCAAAAATGCATCATTTTCCCGATATTTGACTTTATATCTTTCAAATTTGGCATTTGAAGAAAACCGCTGAACATTGATATTGTATTTGTAATTGTATTTGTCTTTTTAAAAGCTACAAATTTGTTCTCTACAATTTTTTGATAAAATGCACCATTTTCGAGTTATTCGCGAAAAATCGATTAAAAACGTGGATTTTTTCGTCTAAAAGTTGTTACTTTCAATCGCGAATAACTTGAAAAATATCATTTTATAAAAAAAATGTATAGCACATTTTTTGTTTAGAATCACTTTTCTAATCGAAACCTGTAGTTAAAACGTAAAAAAAATTTTCACCCCGGAGATGGGGTGGCAACCACCTAGGCTTTGGCGCACTTTGGTTCGATATAGATTTTGATCCTGAGGCTATTACCTACCTTCTGTTAAATTTCAAGTCAATCCTCGCCGCACGAAAAAAATTGCGAGGTAAAATGCTACATTTCCTGGACTATAACTGGTTTGACAGCATAATAAAATCTTAGATTTATGTGTAGCTTTCAATTTTTATGAGTTCGGAATCCAGCAGCCCGCTGAATTATGGGATTTTTTATAATATAATTATTTGACAATCTTTTGTTGGCCAACCAGCTACAGCAGAATTGAGCCGAAATACATTATATTCCTATGTTCCGAATTTATTTCGTTCAATCTGTATAGCTAATAATAACCCTATACTTGAACTTTTATGTTAACAGTATTAGCTTCTTACACTATGTTAAACACCTTTTCTGTGTCAACATATATTGTTTAGACCTAAAGTAACACCTGTTTGTGATGTGCTAAATAGAAATTATCTTACATAACATATAGTATGCAACTCGTAATCAACATATACATTTTTGAATCAAAATTGTTAGATGCGTTTTCTATGCCAACATATAGTTTAATTCTTATCAGAGACCGAAAATACAATACAAATCGTTACGATTAACTTTCTGCAGCTACCCTGTTTTAATGATGGTCCTCTTCGGAGTGAGTATAAAAAGGAGGGTCGACTTTTATCCCATGCGGATGCACACCTGTGTACCCTTACGAAGAGAGTTGTACATAAACCTATAAGTTGATCGTAATCCATATCTGCAAAAGTATGTTGTCGACTTGGGTTAATTAATATATGCAGTGCATTTCGTATGTTTTGTAAACATGATCCGGAGAAATTATTGCCTGATGAATATCGAACAAACATATATTCTTACCAGAGACCGAAAGTACAATAACACCTTTTAAAAAATAAAATTACTTGCTCATCGTAGATAAAATATAGCATGCAACTCGTTTCAGCATTGAAACGTGATAGGTTTATTATAAGTCGAAAAAACGTACGTCAATGAAATCGTACGTAAAGTGCACTCTGTATGTTTTTATAAACATTATCAAAATTGTTGCCTGATGGCTATTAAAGAACCGGGTATGGACTGACATATATTTTTACCGAAGACCGGAAGTACAATAACAGCTAAAAATAAATAAACTGTTCTTCGTAAATAAAATACAGTAAGTAGCTTATTACGGTTTCCACACGTGTGAAAGTGTCAAATCGTTAAACAGCAAAATATGTCTGTCATGCTTATGTCATATCCCTGCGTCGGTGTAGCTTCGTTCTGACATTAGCGAAGGAAAAAAAGAAGAATTGACAGTTAACAGACGAAGAAGAATTGATGGACCGAAAAGAAGAAGAATTGACAGTTGACAAATGGTTTCAGTCTTGGCTAAGGTTCATGCTCGGCCAGTAATGCAGATTCAACGCTTACCGACAGTGACGTCCCACTATCTGCCTCATGTTTCTCATACTCTGCTTAACTTTGTTTTTAAAATTAGGTTTTACCACTGATTGTATCGATCTATCTAGATTATTATATTGTACCTTATATTTAAAATTATTACGTTAAGGTATTTTTTGACGATTTTAGTTTTTTAATATTGTTCTGAAGCTATTTTCTTGTGGCATTGTAGAAATTTTTTTTTTAGAAATCGTTCCTCGAAGAACGATTTCTCAATTCTTGCATTTAGATCATCGTTTTTCATTTCATCGTTCTTGGAGGAGAAACATTTGTTAACTTCTGTTTTATTAAAAAATGATTATCCTTTATCGTTTATAAATAAGGAATTTTCAACAATCGATCGAATAGAACAGAACAACTTAGAACGAGATCCTACAGCATACACAAGGAATAATATGAGGAAAATAACAATACCGTACATAAAAGGACTATCAAAAAAACTTAAAAGAATAGGAAATAAATTCAACATTTCAACAACATTCAAAACAACAAACACGTTGAGATCTATTTTGTCCAAAACCAAACCTAACGACGCACTATATACCTATATACCTAATTATTTTTCTCTTTCTGCTCTCTCTTACCTATAGCATTACATATGTATTGATTGTGCAGATTGACTCCCACATAAATTTGTAACGACGAACGCGTGTATAGAAGTATAACTTCTACCGGCAGTCCCACTGGACTGCCACACCCGTTTTTTTTCTGTTAAAACTTATACTTTGTAAATTTTTTAGTTGCAGATTAAATGTAAAATACTTGAACCCAAATTAAAATTTAATATGGAAAAATCAATTATAATATTTACATTTTTTTTGGGAATCACCTATTCTTTGGATGATGTTAAATGGAATAATTTTAAGGTAATATAAATTAATAACCTACTTATTTATTTTATTGCTATTTATTATTGTACGCAATTTTTACAAATTTAAGAATATAAAGTAACATTTACTCTATAAAAAATAATGTCATAAATATGACATATTACAAACAAACAACGATTTGGTTACTTAGAAGTGAAGACAAGGAAAGTGAAGGGACGCTATTAATATTTTAGTATCTTTTATTCAACCAAAGCCGACTAAGATTACTGTATCTGTGAACGAACCATACATTTATATTTTGTATTTTTGTAGAATACACATTTTAAAAGATACAATGACCTTGAAGACAAGCTGAGATTTAAAATATTTCAAGACAGCCTTAGAGAAATAGAAGCACACAATAAAAAATATAACAATGGAGAAGTATCTTATTTTCTAAAAACAACTCAGTATGCTGACTGGACAAATGAAGAGTTTAGATCCCTATTAAATAGTAACCTTAACAAAAAACTTTACACAAAAAAGGAGAATGTAGTGTTTAAGTCCAAGGCTGAAATTCCGTCATCAGTGGACTGGAGAAATGAAAAAGCTGTAACGGCAGTTAAAGACGAAGGAACTTGCGGTTGTGGTTGGGCTTTTAGTGCGGTAAGTGATAACATGCATTTTTAACTACCCCTTTATTTACAGTCTGTAATTCTATTACAGTAAGTAAATTATGTAACTATTTTACACAATTGCAAATTAAATTATTAAAAAAAAACATGCAAAAAGTTGTCCCAGATAGTTTCTATTTATATTTTAATTTTAATAATTTTTTTTTGTAAATTTGGGATCTACACAAAAAATATAAAAATAACTTTTATTGTTTAGAAATCTTGTTGAAAGATTACTAGGAGTGTGTTGCTTTAGAGTTCGATTTTGTTGTTTCTTCATAAGGTTTTTTGCAAGATCGATAGAATGGTTTTCAAGCTAGAGAGTATATTTTTGGGATCTCTTCTTTAACAGTCTTGTAATGACGCGTAGAACTTTTGATTGAAACCTCTTCAAGATATCTACGTTAGACCTGGACGCTGATCTCCTAACATACAGCTATATCTAACTAACCCAACAGTAACGCATTGGTTAGTGATCAGTGTAGTAGTATCTGGAGACTGAGACCTCGGAAATCTTAAAGAAGACATCAGAGAGGCCGTCGAAAGTGCAATGCTTAGCATTTAGCGCAATGATAATGACGCGGTTGAACCCGGAAGAGTGTTGAGTTCAATATTAATTCTGGTAATAGCATTAATCTTAGCTCTAGGTTTATTTTATGTATGTATGTACATATGTATGTACTACGCTTGTTTACAATACTTATTTATTGTTACCTAATACCTAGCATTTCTGTACCTTATTGTCACCTAGTATACCTATACATTCCATATACTTCCCACTGGTTCCTTACCGCTCTTAGGTAATACCATCATCAAGGCCATGCCTCTATTTAACATATATTTTCTTCTGGTTCCTTACCACTCCTAGCTAAGAACCGGAAAAACAGGGCAACAGGAAGGCATTCGTTTGCAGGACCTCCTCTACAAAGGGGAAAATGGGCTCGGATGTTTTCCCCTGCCCTAAATCCAACACACACCGAGCAATGGTATGGTGTTTAGAACATTTCTACCCTTATCAGAAAAAAAAGGTTTAGTTGTTACAACATTTCGGACACACTCACACACACACATACAAATATATATATATATATATATATTTATCTATAATATTAAATTATTACTATATATAAATTTTTTTAAGGTTGGTACCATTGAAGGCCAGTTAGTTCTAAAAAGAAATCAATCTGCTACGTCTTTGAGTGTCCAGGAGTTGATAGATTGTTCAACTTTCAACTTTGGCTGCACCAAAGGGTACAATCGTTTTGCATTAATGTATGCGAGGGAATTTGGAATTAGTTCAGATGAACAATATCCTTACGAAGCTAAGGACGATACCTGCAAAAATATTACTGATAAAGCTGTAAAACCCATAGCGCAGTATGGAACTGTCGAAGAGTCAGAAAATTCTTTGGCTGAAGCTGTGGGTAAGTAAGAAAATTGATTCTATTGGACAAAACGGTTTTTAATTTTTAACTACCATTGTATAAAGGTGTAAATCTGTATGAAAATTAAAATTTTAACAACTTTGTTGAATAATGGATTAGGAGGCGGCTAATATATTTATTAATTATTTACCAACGAGAAACCAATTCAATTAATTTTCTCGATTACAATTGCCATAAGGTTTAATAGCCAACAAAATATCAAGAGGACATACACTATCAGACTGTGATGCCGGAGGTCTCCCTTATCACTCGAAATCCGTACAGTTTAAGACAAAACATAACCTTTAAAGATTTTCGAGAACACAATTAGTACATGAACAAAAGTACATGGACCTTTAAAAGTTTCTATGCAGCAGAAAAACAGTAATTTGATTAAAGGTATTCAAAGATTAAGAATTAATAGTATTGGCATAAGTAAACTGAGACGATAAGAAATACGTTAAAATGTTTATACCTGTTACTGAAAGAACAGTAGTTACCTTTTAATGTAAATATTAGACAGATCTACGCCCCTACAGCAGAAAAAACGATAATGAAGTAATAGTATATTACTTTATGAGGCGGAGAAGCATGACTTTTTTTGACGCGCCCGATATTACGCGCCGAACGAAGTGAGGCGCGTAATAGAGAGCAAGTCAAGAAAAGTCGCTTCTTTGCCGAATAAAGTATACTATTTTTTCTTCAAACGTAGCAACAGAAAATAAAGTACGCGAAAAAAGTGGATGGAGGATATATGCGTTGAAATAAAACAATTAGAATACAAACACAACACATTGAATGTGTTTAAAAAAGCAGAAAAATAGCCAGCCTTTTATATAAGGAAAATCCTTGTATCATTGTAGACTCGGCAGATGGTAAATGAAGAAGAAATTCAGACAACTTGGTATAAGTACGTAAATAAACTATTTAATCAAAATCCACAAGGGAAATAATTCCTGTAGCTGGCTGTATACCACGTATCACAAAAAAATTAAATCTTTGTATATGGGTATATTTCTTCTTCTTAGAATGCCGTCTCCCTACGGAGGTTGGCAATCATAATGGCTGTTTTTATTTTAGAACTTGCTGCTCTAAACAAATCAATCGATCTGCATTGGTACCAATCACGTAGATTCTTCAACCATGAGTTCTGCCTTCGGCCAACAGATCTTCTTCCTTGAATCTTTCCCTGTATTATCAGTCTCAAAATTTCATATTTTGGTCCCCTCATCACGTGGCCTAGGTATTTTAGTTTTCTGGTTTGTATAGTGGTGATTAGTTCTGTTTCTTTACCAACTCTCTCCAGTACTTCTTTATTTGTAATTCTATCAGTCCATGATATTTTCAATAATCTGCGGTATAACCAGAGTTCGAAGGCCTCGATTCTTTTTAAATTACATTTTTTTAATGTCTAAGTCTCAGCTCCATATAATAATATTGAAAATATATAACAGCGAATGGTACGTAGTCTGATCTCCAAATTTAGATTTTTGCACGTTAGGAATGGCTTCCTTCGTATAAATGCTGATCTGGCAATCTCTATTCGTCTGTTTATTTCTACAGTATGATCATTGGTTTCATTGATCAAAGTTCCCAAATACTGATATCTTTCTACTTGTTCTATCACGTTACCATTTATTGTCAATAGGTGATGTATATTTTGTGGCCTTTTTGTAATCAGCATGTACTTCGTTTTTTTAGCGTTTATAGTAATTCCCATCTCAGCACTATTTATACTCAAGCTTTCGATAAGATGTTGTAGATCCTCTATACTCGTTGCTATGATCACAGTGTGGGTATATTTAAAAAACCCTTAAAAGGGCTACACCGATTAATACAAACGTATTCGGAATAATAATTCCGTCATCAGGTTTAAAAAGTTCCTAAAATAAGTATAAACCATTTAATTAGAGCAAAAGTGGTTTAAAATTTTGACTAAGGTTAAAAAGCAAAAATGATTATACTTACAAGGTTCACATGTCTGAGCCACCAAAATATCAGGGTAAAAACCCTTTAAAATATATGTTGTTACAAAAGATTGTACAACATGTTATTATAAATTTGTGATATTTGATATTAAATTAAATTTGGCTTTAGGTAACATACACCCATGGTTTGAGTTCCAGTGTCCGGAGAGTAAACCTCTTCAAACGGACTACAGCTGGTAACTGATTGACAAGATACCTATGAGCGGTATTTAATTACGCCAGACGAAAAAAAAACAGACTTTAGGTGAAGATGATGAACCAGATGTATTGAAGGTAACAGTACTACGTGCTATAAAGTTAACAAAGAAAAGCTGTTGGCCCTAAGAACATCCTAAGGTTGAGGTCTGAATTAATAACTATATGAAACTTTTTGCACTGAATGTTTTACTATAAAAATTTCGACATATGCCTAAAGATGTCTTTGCCGTTTTTATTATTAATGAAAAGGCATTTGATACGTCATGACTGTTAATTGAATTATTAAGATATAAAGAGGTTGATAGCTGCTTAGTCAGGATAATTAAAAAATTATATTTTTCCATGATCCTCACAGCAACCATTTATATTGATGAGAAGTCGATATAGTCTTTATTCAGATTCTTAAAATTGCTATGTACAAATTGAAATATGGTGTAAAAATTAAAGGAAAACTGATAAATACCATCAGATAAGCAGATCACGTAGTTGTATTGAGCAATTTCTTAAATGGACTGGAATATCTTTTAAAGTCCATTAACTGAACGCAAATCGTTTACGTTTATTTTCAAATACATACTTCCACTCTTTCTTCAAGGTCAGTTCCACTTATTCTAACTGCGAGCTGACGTATTTATCTTGACAAATATTGTGAATGTACTCCTATGTTCATATAGCCCATTAGAAGTTCGTTGGCAAGTTGTTTTAAAAATATTCTTCGTGAGGTATTTGTCTTTTTTTCTTTTGAATTAAATTTATATATAACAAAGGCGTTTATACCAGAATAATTTCAGGCATTTAAGTCCATAAAAGATAAACATGGGCCATCTACGTGTATTCCGTGCAACATCATGCTTGTAGAAGAGCTGATTAACTATATCATAGGGGACTAAAAATTAATTGTTCTAAAACAAAATACATTGTATTTCGTTGTTCACTTTACGTAATTACAACTAGGTGGACAACCAAAAATACAACGAGTATCCGATTTTAATTATCTAGGTTATTCTTTTACCAAACAATTACACTCAGTCAAAGATATAAAATGTAGATTTAAGATGACCTGCGCAACTCTTTTTAGAAATAAGGTCCCTCTTCTGTAACGATAACTTAAATCTTTAACCTGGATTTTGAATGTATACACTGTTAACCGCTAAGATACTTTGAAAACACTCAGAATACATCTGTTACAATAGTATCTGACTCATTGTCTGTTATGTTAGCCATTGAAACTTTAAATTTTCCTAGTAATAACTCAAATATATGTGTTTTTCAAATTAAAAAACTTGTTTATGACATTTATAAAAACCGAAGAGTTGTTCATTTTTTGTGGGTTAAAGCACACATAGGTCTTAAATACAACGAACATGTTGACCTATTAGCTAAAAAGGCCATTGATACCGGAACGCAAGCTAGTCACCAAATCTGTAGACAAGACACATTAACAATAATTAAAAATAATATCAATAGTAAATGGAAACAATCTTGGCATATATATATATATATATATATATATATATTATATATATATATATATATATATATATATATATATATATATATAGTACGCATTCTTCCTCGCAATATGCTTCTATACAGCCTTCAATCCCAAGTGATTATTGGTTCAAAAATTATTCTGTTCCACGAAGGTATATAACATCCATAATTAGAATAAAATTTGGACACGCCTGCTATCCTAGTCATCTGTCCAAACTAAAAATCGTAAATTCAAATTTATGTCCAGACTGTCAAAAAGAAGGGGATCTAAATCACATTTTCTTCGAATGTAAAAATTACACAAAACAAACTGAAGATCTAATAAAAAATTTAGTTAACATCAAAATTTTTCCTCCGTACAATATGTGTTATCTGCTATCTCTAAATATAAGAGTTGTAAATGAATGTTTGATGGAATTTATTTGCGAAAGTAAGCTCAATATTTAACTGTAATTAGAATCCTAACCTCTGTTTTACCCCATTTGTTATTACCTTTTATCCGTGACCTAATCTAGTTTGTCTTAAAAGCAATGTCTTGATGGGTCCCTAGACGAGAAACGAGTGTCCATGTTTCAGCCCTATCCTATCCTTAATAATAATTTTAATGCTTAAAATTTGTAAGGATACTTAAGTTTGAATATTAAATTATCTTTTTATATTGTACTACCCAATTTTTTTTTCTGGGTAGAATATTTTCATGTTGTGACTGGCTGTATGGTACTTGCCTATGCCATTAGAAAAAAAACCGCTTAGAGTCTGTTGAAATGTGGTTGTAAGCAGTCAAATAAGCAGTTCTCAACAAAGCAGAAGCTTCTCGTCAGCTAATTAATACAGTCAAATCCAGAAAACTAGCATTTCTGGGATATATAGTGCAAGGAATAGAGTATAATATTTGTCGACCAATTAAAATAGTTTAAACCGAAGGACACAGGGAAATTGGTAGAAAACAAGCCTCGTGGTTAAAGAATGTCAGAGAATGGACCGGGATACAGAAAGTCAAACACATATTTAGAATAGTACAAAACGCATAGAGTAGTACATTTATTCATTACTATTTTGGAATCTTAAACTATTTAACTATTTTAATTTATTTTATTTCAGCTCTCATAGGACCGATTGCAAGCGTCGTATATGTTGATGAGAACCTGGGATGGAAACTGTATGGTGGAGGAATATTTGATAATCCTTCATGTACAGATTCGATTAATCACGGGATCCTGACAGTTGGATATGGCACTGAAGAGAAGGACTTTTGGATTCTAAAAAATTCGTGGGGAACCACCTGGGGAGAAAATGGTTACATGAGATTAGTACGTGGAAAAAATCAGTGCGGAATATATTTAGACAATTCATTTGCTATACTAGATTCGTAATTTTTACTTCGGTTTATAATAAATCCAGTCCTACAAAACAGAAGCTGGAATTTTGAGGAAGGATGTTTTGTAATATAATTTATACATCTATTAAAAAAAAAAAGAAATATAAATATTTTATACCTGTGTCTGTCTTTACTGTTGGTATTACAATTCTATATTGTACATTTTTATGTTAAGTGTTAGCGCCAGTGTGAACATCAACAAGTAGTTTTTAGACATTTTTGTAAATAGAAATTTGTGTTAGAATAAAACGTTTATTTTTGTCAATGTATCGTTTTAATATTTCATCTATAAGTAGAATTTTTCCATCACTCATCCCTAAAGGTTATGGGCCCAGCCACAGCCACCTTTACTTCCAAGCCATGAAGTAAAAAAGGCAACACCGCATTCTATGACGTCGGTAGTCCGATAATCAGCTGTAAGGTCTACCAGAATATTAAACTAATTTGAATTTTAGGAAACTGATATTTTGAAAACTTCAATTCATTACAGAAATATTTTTAGGGAAATTAAATTAATAAAACCTTATATATACCTAGTAAATGTATATAAAGTTTTATTATTATTTAGGTTATATTATCAATAAAATAATCACTAGAGTAAAATTTATTGCACTTAAAATACAGTGTCAAACAGTTAATCTTACAATCAAATGCAGTCAAGAATCTCTAGAAATTTTAAATATTAAGTACCTAAGCATATAAATAACACAATACATTAACACGACATTTAAAAAGATTATTAAAAATACAAAAGATATAAAATTTGTGCTAAGTAAAAACTTAGTGTAACTATTATGATTAAAAAATTCATCCTAAGAAATCAGACACAATATAAATATGGTTCTAAATTAATCTAATTGAAAATTAAATATTTTACTATTTACTTATAACTTTTGTTGAATTTTCATACTTAGATATACAAAAGTAGCAATTTTAAATATGAATAGGTTTGTTGTCAGATAGACCAAGTTAAAAGAGGTATACATGAAAAATGTGTTGAATGTAACATACCATTTATAACTTGTATATCGATTTAAAATAGCCTATATTCTCAAAGATTTTTGAATGTAATACTCAAATTTGTTATCACTTATCTAAAAAGCAGATCTAAATGAGAAAGTAAGTTCTCTAATTGTGACCATCTTGTTAATTTAATATATTGTAAAATCCATTTCAAATCATTACCACTTAATCTATTCTTTCCTACATTAACGACTACACTAAAATTACTGCTAACTATTACACTACATATTACACAAATATTATCACACTTGTGTTCCAACTGATTAATGTTTAATACAAAGAAATATACACAGTCACTTGTAATTTTACTTGTCCAGTTTTTCAATGGGATATTATTGTCTAAGTCTAATTGACATAATTATGTTATCTCTTGTTCCCTCTTCTTATGCAAAAAGTTTCTTCTGTCTTCGGGATTCCTTCTTTCTTTAGTACGATGAACAGTTACATATGATGGTACTTCAGGAAATATATTAGGAACTGCATTGCATTTTAATTTGGGAAATATTAACTTTTCAATGTTCATGAAAATGTTTGGCACATACTACGGAAGATTTGGTAATTGTACAGCCTTCTCTATGAATAGAGCATAAGCCAGTATACCTTCTTTGGGGATCTTTTGGAAACAAAAACATACTTTCTGCCTGTTTCGTTTTTAAAGTACTGGTATAATTGGCTTTACAACCAGGTACACAACAATGCCAGAGCATCTGTAACAAAAAACAAAAGTATTATTATTGTTGTTTTTAGTTTACATATTTTGTAACAAGAAGCAAAAGTATTATTATTTTCAGTTTGTTTTGTAGGTTATATTTATACTTGCCTTTTAAATTGTCGTAAAGAATCTTCTAAAAGTTCTAAATTTAATGAAATTTTACTTATATTAATATTTTCTAATTGATTTAAACACAATTTACAAATAAAACATTCGAATAAAGTTAAAAAACAATAAATTCAACAAACTTTACAAGCCTTCCTATATGAAATGTTAAACCAAAACAAACCACATTCGGACTACCACGCGTTGTTGCCAAATTTCTACTTCAGGGCTTGGAAGTAAAGGTGGCTGTGGCCCAGCACGCCTTCACTGCGGAAGGTTGTTTAAATTTATGGTTATGGTTATTTAAGGTAATGGTCCCACAGTTTGGAACAGTATGGAACCAAACAACACAACTGGTCAATATAAGAAAGAAATGCAAGCTGGAATACTTTGGTCTCATTATGAGACACCCTGAAAAATATGATTTGTTACATCTGATCATTCAGGGAAAGATCCAAGGTAATCGTGGTCCTAATAGAAGATAAACATCATGGCTAAAAAATCTACGGCAATGGTATGAAAAATCTATAATAACTACATTATTATTTAGAGCTGCTGTCAATAAAGTCACGATAGCGAATATGATAGCCAACATGATATCCAACGATCGATAACGGTCATGGAACAACAAGAAGAAGAAGTAAATAGAAATAGTAGAATTATTTTTCAGAGTTATGTATTTATTTATTTAGTTTTCTGAATTTTAATCACAAGTCTAACGTATTATGTGAAGTTTTTATAGGTGTGATATCTTCATCTGCTTTTTCTTGGGTCTTTCTAATTTTTACAATATTGTCAGCATAGGCTGTTACCGGAATAAGTAATCCGTCACTTGATGGTCCAGAACTATATGTGGTGAATTGGTTAAAAATTCTAACCTGATGGAAAGGGTAAACTTTGTTGCCAAACTATCCACATTTAAGAGAGGCGTATTTGAACACCTAATTGCTTCAAAATATTTATTAAGGACCACTGAAGCAATAAAACAATTAAGAGGTATTTTCCTTCGATTTATTTACACAATAGACTTAAGGACTGGTTTAAACATTGACAATTATCGCAATTCTGATAGTTACATAAAGAGTTATACAAATATTAGCTTTACAGTGAGTGTGGGGAGGCAGTAACAGATATACATGAAATGATAAAATCGAAAGAGACCAACTATATACGTTTTAACACAAAACACTGAAAACACCGGCTCACGATAGCGCATCCGCGGCTTACGTATTTTTCGGGATCACACACACCCGGCCTTCACTTGCCGAGAGGCAAATTGGCACTGTCTTTCCTAAGTTATATAACGAGGGGGAGGGCGGGTCCCTGATGTAGGAAATCAGTCGCACACACGTTAACACGATAGCTGACGACCTGAGAGCACAATTTGATAAAATAACTATATGATTACAATATTATATAGGTTGTTTTTACAACACTAATCTTTCTGCATTTATGTAAATTATTACATTAATATTTGCAGGTTAAGATTATTAACCCTGCAGAAAACTTACACGAATAGCTTGCTTGGCTTGCCAGTTCTGTGCCGCCTTGAGAGTATCCATAAATATTTCGTTAAGCTGTTTAATAATGTTGTCATTTTGCACGTTTTTCTGTAGGATACTTTTATTTTGTATGTATGTATGTAGGACATTTTAAGTCCTTCTTACCATAGTTCTTCTTGCCATTTTTACATTCAAGGCAATCTTTACTCTAACCATTTTGTGGTCACTATCTTTTGAAAATTGATTTAATATGATATTATCTTGAACAGTGTCTTTTTGTTGCTAAATATATCTATCAATCAGTCAATTAATAATGCCTTTTAATTTCTCATTAAAAAAATACAATACAAAAAATTACACTAAGGCAAATTCTATATAATAAGGTAATTAAAATTAATAAATAATAAATAAAATAAATATTCATATAAATGTTATAGCTATAAACTAAATGTGTATCTCTTCCTTCAATCCTGACCTCCCAGGGGGAGTGTACTGGTCGACGTGATGTCGTGTATTGTCCGTTTCCAGAGATCTCTGTCTCTGGTCATTTCTTTTAATTCATGCATAGGTCTTTGGCATATTCCTGTAATTTGATCTATCCATCTTGTTGGGGATCTTCCTCGTGATCTTCGGCCTTCTACCTTTCCTTGTATTATGAGTCTTTCCATGTTTTCTGTGTTTTGCTCTCATAACATGCCCAAAATATTTTAATTGTTGGAGATGGACTTTACTAGAGAGTCGTTGGCTAACTTTTAGCTCTCTTAAAATTGAATTATTTGTTCTACGGTCGGTCCAAGGAATTCGTAACATTCGTCTCCAACAGAACATTTCAGTGGCGTCTATCTTTCTTCTCTCCGATTGTCTCAGAGTCCAAGATTCACATCTTGGATTCACATTCATATACACAAATGTGTATATCCTACTGAGAAAAACTTCGCACTAGACTAAACAATAATAACAACGGTATAGCATACTTGCATTAGTATCGACTAATGGAAAAATGATTCCTTTACATTTGTCTACATTCGACTTTATTGCAGATTTATTAAAAAATAATATTAAAATGTCAGCTACAAAGTCCATATTTTTTTTTTAAATAGTAATTAATATTTTTGAAGAACAATGACATTAATTTTTAAATTTAAATTTCAAGTTGGTCGAAGTTTAAAATGATTTTAAAATAGATTCAATAACGTTAAAATTTGCAACTAGTGGCTATATACTGATATATGAATGACTGATTATTGATTATTATTATCTACTCAAGATCAGCCTCAAGTGTAGACATCTGGTGAAGGTAAATTTGTTATCATAAAGTAATTGCTTATAAAAACAAGTACTTTACTATACATTTACTTTACTATCTTAAGGATTAACTAAATAAGGTACAAGAAAATAAATAGTTTTCGAACATTATTAAGTAAAATAATGTTATACACTTAAGTAAAAGACGGTTTTTGATCAAAAATATACTTCTTTGGACCAGAAAAACTTGCTGGCTAATATTTACTCTCTTCTCCGTACCATTTCCATCAAGGAATATAGGCTATCATATTTGCCATTATAATTGTGTTCACTGCAGCTCTGGACAATAAGGAAAGGGACTGATTTAACCACTCACGTAGGTTACAAAGTGATGTTCTTCTTCTATCAGGACCTTCTTTATTTTTGGCACTAAATAATTAGATGAAGGAATTCATTTTATTTTGACTCTCGCATGACATACTCCAAATTTTGTATTTTTACCATTTTGAGTACATCGAGTTGCAAAACATAATCAAATTACAAATATTTACTGAAAACCATCAAATCTTGAAAGCTACAGTACTTTGTATACATTATGCGAAATTATTCTAAATTTGCTCTCCTACGTATCTACCTATGGATAGCAGGTATATACTTCTCTACGATCCCGGCAAAGGATGGATCTACTTCAGGAATAGCACACCTGCCCACGCGAACTTATGGACTTTCACAGCCTTTCATCCCCAAGGAAACTATGTCCAAATCCAAAGTATTCCCATCTACACCGATTCCTTCCTTCACTTCCAAACCAACTCGTCAACACGCACTAACCAAGCGTGGCGTTTTATTGGCTTGAAACCCCAAAAGTTATTTTCCATGAAAGACGAAACTACTGCACGGCCCTCAGTCTACGGTAGCTTCAACACCCCCAAAAAGGGAGCGGTTGGAACAAATTGGGAGCAGAGAATGCTAAGAATCCTCGGAAAAAATCAGCTACTACAAAAAGTGACAAACAAATATTACTTCATACAATGTTAGAACTCTTATATTAGACCAGAAGATAATGGAATTGAGGAAGGGCTCAAAAAAATAAAATGGAACGTCATCGGCCTCGGCGAAATAAGACGAAGAGGAGAAACCCAAATTACTTTTAAATCAGGACATGTATTTTACTTTAGAGGTAAAGAAGAGACTTCAAATGGTGGAGTAGGATTCATTATACACAGAAAGCACATACAAAATATAGTTGAAATTATCCGCATAAGTCCCAGGATTGTATATCTCATCTTCAAGGTAAATGCAAGATATGACCTTAAGGTAATCCAGACAACGACTACCCACTCAGATAAAGAAATTGTATAATTTTATGAGGACCTAGAAACAGCGTTACATGCCACACCAGCATGTTATACAATAACTATGGGCGACTTTAGACTTAAGATCATGAAGAAGCAGCAATGGGTAAGTATGGATATGACAAAAGAAATGTACTAGGGTAAAAACCGCTGAACTTTTTCTAAACACCAGAAAAAAATATAGATGATGAACTCGTTTTTCGATAGAAAGTTACAGCGGAAATGGATATGGATCAGTCCAGATGGCAAATAAAGTAGATTATATTATAATAAACAGAAAAGAAATAATTAAAGACATCGAAGTACTCAACAATGACGACCTAAAGCATGTTGGCACAAACTGGATGCAAGTCGCACAAGACAAGAGACAGATTGAAAGAGCTGAGGGAGATCTATGTCCAGCAGTGGACGCATATAGGTTATTAATAATGATGATGATGATGCCCTCTTACAAGCCATTACACATCCTACAGGGAAAATATTTGGAATGCGAGGTCCAATAAGACGAAGAACATCCTGCTAAAGAATCTTATAACCTGATTCGTCATAAGATCTCTGCAACGTTACGGTAGACAAGATAAATATTGCCGTGATGATCGACAACATTCTTATGGATAAGCATAACAAGAAGAAGATACAACATATAAATTATCTAATCTATGTAGGATATTTTAATCTACTGTTTTAATTTTCAGGTCTTACAGCTACCACCAGAACTTGGCTAGAAAATGCAATAAACAAAGTAGACACCTGGTCTACGTGTGCTATATTTGTGTTTTCAACTTCTAAATTCAAGGTAATTCACCTCACCTAAAAGTATAGACCTAATCTACCTTCTATAACTCTAAACGAACTTCGTTTACAAACAGTTAACTATTTATATTGTTCTGAAGCTATTTTCTTGTGGCATTGTAAATAAATTACTATTAAACTGGGAATAAGCCATAATTAAAGATAAAAATACGTTTATTGACGTTTGATTTCCACTTCGGAAATCGTTCTCAAAATACAAACAGTAAATTGATTAATAATATAATAATAATAATAATAATAAAAAAAATTTACTGTTTGTATTTTGAGAACGATTTCCGAAGTGGAAATTGAAACGTCAATAAACGTATTTTTATCTTTAATTGTGGCTTATTCCCAGTTTAATAGTAATTAAGTTAACTATTTGACACTTCTTGGTATCATCTTTGATAAAAAGCTTATCCGAAGACAACATATTCAGGAACATATTATCTAGCTACGGAAAGCTCGAAGCCGAAGTGGACGATTAAGTGATAGAGCAAATAGAGCCTCAGATTGCCTAAATGAAACAATATTGAGAAATAAAAATATCGGGAAAGAAACGAAAAGCAGAATTTACAAAACAGTCATCAGACCAATAATAACATACGCGGCAAAAACAAGACCTGACACAGAGAAGACAACAGGGATGTTAGAAACATTAGAGATGAAAACATCTAGACAAATTGATGGTAAGACACTATGGAACACAGCTAGAAGTACAGATATATGACGTAGATGCAAGATGGAGAACATCAAGAACTGGTTAAGAAATAGAAGAGTAGAATAGAACGATCATATAAGCCGACTTACAACAAATCGAGTAATAAAAACGGAAGGGACTGTTTTCCAATAGGAAGACGATCAGTAGGAAGACCACAAAAACGATAGAACGACAACTTACTGGAGGCACATTAAAAAACAAACAGAGTCAAGTCTATATAAAAAGAAGAAGAAGAAGACTATATTTGGTGCTTTCAAAATCAAGCCCACTGAAAGTGTTTGTATTGAATTTTCAGAGCCACCACTTTATCTAAGAAGGCAGCAACTTTCATAGTTTGTAAGAATATGAGCAAACCCAAGTAATCCAGTAATAAATCTAATCAATCTTGTAGAACCTACCCCAGCAAACTAATTAAACCACTCACTCACATTACCACAAATATTATCTCCTTTATTAGATTCCATCAACATTTCTGATACTACTTCTATTTATACCTGCAAGACAGCTCCATGGATGCACAATCTTCCAATAATCAATACTGATTTATGCAGATTCAATAAAACAGAAACCGCCAACTTAATTCTTAGAAAAATTTTTGCAAAACATCCTCAACCTAACACAATTTGCGATCTTTTAAAGTTATTCTCCAGTTGTTTCACTATACGCTGTGTTACACTAATTTTACTAGCGGCTTTTATGGTCAACGTAATTCATTCTATAACGTATGTCATCACTGGAAGTATGCAAGAATTTACAACTTTTGCCTTAAAATTAATGGGAATATTATGTTTCTACTTCTGTGTGTTGGTTTTCTCTGCTCAACTTTATTAGATAACCCAAGTCAACGTATACTGACACTACCTCTAAAGTAAGGATCATGGTCGGTGTATATCGGTATAAAGGTCATTTATAAATTAACACAATGTATTAGGTATATTAATTAGGATTTCTAAATCAAATACTTCTGTTTTATACGTAGGTACTTCAAATATTTCATATCACTAATATACGAGCTGATAAATAGTTTGTTCTGATGACATATTACATCAGTATAGTTCTAGTTCTCAAAGGTAAGAATTATAAAATAGTAATGTATTAGTTTAACTAGGTATATTTATTTATAAAATATGTTTTTTTGAAATCTGAATACATTTCTAATCATTGAGAGATCATTCACAGAACCCCTCTACGTTCTGGAGCTTTATCTGCAACTGCATAACATCCTAGTCTTCCCAGATTCCACTTAAGGTGGTATGTCACGATATTAAAATGTATATACTTTTTAGGTAGATATCGTCACTATTTCAGAACAAATATTCAACTTATGAATATATAGGTGAACTATAAACTTCATACTATAATGATTTCTATTTAAAATTTCCAAAAAAACAGTACATTTTTCATAACTAGACTTAAAAATGAATCTATATCATAACCTACTTGGCAAACTGCCTAAAATTTGGTATTGCCTAATATTTTTTGAACTTTTTGAACTACAAACTAGAGATTTTGTTGATATTGCCGTAACGAGCTAACATTTTTGTAAAGTGAAATTAGTTCAGCTCTCAGCAGTTCAGCAAAGCAACCCCTCCCAGTTAACATTTTGGCTTCGGTTAACTTTCAATCATGATTGTTAAACAGTGCCACAGTATCTTAACAATGAGAATACCATTTTTATCCTTGGCACCGTGACGTTATGTAATACCGTTATGTAAATACCGTTGAAAGTCAAACAAGATTCTTTGGTCTACAATTGATAATAAACATATTTTTCAATTGAAATCTTTGCTTTATTATCATTGCTTCTCATTATTATGTTTCATCTTATCTTTTATGTTCGCTCGTGGCTTTTTGATTTATCTTTTTTATTTCTTCTTTACTTGTGTTTGTATTCTCTTTTATTATTATTCTCTGATATTTCACCAAACAAGAATTATCAGCTATTAGTCCAATGACGTAGTTATTATGACAATAAATACTTAACTACTACCATGCTTAAATATTTCTTTATGCTTTATTTGTTTTAGGAAATCAACATGAAAATTGTAATAGTTTTAACAGCCCTGTTTATTGGAGACATTAATTGTAATTCTGACCACTCGGTCTGGACAGAATTTAAAACCAAACACTCAAAAAATTACAGCGTACATGAAGAACAAACTCGTTTCTCAGTTTTTCAAGAAAACTTGCGAAAAATTGAACAACATAATGCAAGATATAAGAAAGGAGAAGTCTCATACTTTCTTAATATCACAAAATTTGCTGATTGGACTAAAGAGGAGGTTCAGAAATTTTTAAAACCTCTTCCAAAAAACCAATTAGCATTTAAAACCGTAGAACAGAATCCAGTAGGTGCAGATTATCCTACTTCATTTGACTGGAGAGACCATGGAGCAGTCAGTGAGATTCAAGACCAAGGACTGTGTTTATCGGGATGGGCTTTTGCAGCTGTAAGTATTTTAAATTTTTTGAGATTTTAATTCAAATTGTCAAGTTTTTTCATGGTTTTTTTTTTACATTTTGACTTACAAGAAGAAACCAATAGTAAGAAACACTGTTAAATTACATTTTAAAGAGCAAATTGTTAGTAATGAGCATGTTCTTTTACAAAAGTATTAAAGGATGCATAAAAAATAAATTCATCATCACTTACCAAGTATTTGTCGCCAGCGATCATATTTTATTGAGAGCTTAAGCTTATTAAGGTATCAAGAAGAAAAGGATGTTAAGAACAGAAACATTATTAAATACAGAAACGGCACTCATTAGCGAGTTTAAAAAGAAGCATAAGCAAACATTATCTCGGGCGATGATTTGGTCTGGTTTCTGTTATTTGTATAAATATATGTAAATTTTTGTGACATTCTTGGATGTGCTGGATAGCCTACTATTTTTTAACGAAGTAAGTCTAAAACGTAATATTTTTGTTAAACATCAGCATTGAATTATTGTTGAAGTTTTGTTACTTTTCCTTTCACCATTTTTGGCTTATTTCAGATGCCTCTAAAGACGCTCTGAAAGTATTTGGGCAATATTTAATAAAGAATATTGGTCGATATGTGCCTTTTGTTTGTAAAACTTATACCATTTTACACTAGAAGTTTTACATTTCACTACAATTTTATTAAACTGTGGTATACAGGCAACCGCTATCATTCTTCCCTTTTAATAATTGCTATAATATTAATAGTATTGATCTTAAGGCTACATTTGCTTTAAGGAATATCTTTGTACAGTTTCTTACCAGCTTATTTTTTTAGGCCGGAGCAGTAGAGGGAAGATATGCAGCTTTAAAGAAGGAATTAATCGCTTTGAGTTCTGAAGAATTAATAGATTGTTCTACATACGAAAACCCTAAATGTGATAAAGGAGGTATTGCCGAGTACTCCTATTATTATATTCAAGGCAGTGGTCTTAGTTCCGCTGAACAGTACCCATATACAGCGACCAATTCAGTACCATCAACTTGTTATGGCAAAAACATTACAAATAAACCTATTCAACCTTTCGGTAATTTTGGAACTATTCAACAAACTGAAGATGCTATCAAAGGATTTATTGGTAAGTGTGATAATCTGTAAACTAGATTTAAAGTAACGAGACCCCACATTGTACATTGTATTCCTTTTATTATATATTTTACTGTACTCTAGCTCCAATAATAATAAGGTATGAACTTTTATAAGGGTAGCAGATCTAATAATATTTTTAAAGTTTGAGAAACTAAAAATACCAGCAAATGGTAGCAGAAAACAAATTGTCTACAACCATATATAAAAAAACCAGATATGAGTCAAGATAGGTCGCCGAGATATCAACAGGACTTCATACTGGTGAAATGCGGACATCGAGGTACTAAGTATTGAATGTAAAGCAATGAGAAGAAGGTTAGCGAGAACCAGGAATCAACCCTGAGGTCATCGAGGAGATCAAAGAAGACTAGTGCGCAAGAAAGAGAGAACTTTACAGGTAAATCCGTACAGAAAAAAACGTACTAGAAAGAGTTATTTGAAAAGATGGATAAGGACATCTGGATTAAGGTAACACAAGAGCCTTTTCTGGATGGCAGATGGCATTGAGTATGGTGGGACGAGGGAGCTGAGCAGGCCGTACCCTTTACCGTGGATGAACTTGTCGAGGCATTGGGTTCATTCAAGACGCGCAGGTTCCCGAACTAAATCAGATAAAACCTGAGGCGGTGAAGGGTATAAGACAGGAGGAGCCTGCGTAGCACTTGGAACACATGAATGCACTGCTGGAAGCACAAACCTTTCCTGAGCCTTGGAGAGCATCCAGGTTATTACTGTTCCCCAAGGCTGTGAAAACGTATCGCCTTATCTGTCTTCTTCCATGGATCGGTAAGCTTAATGAAAGCATGCTGCTAGTACGCATAAACGACTATCTTTATCTCGGAGGCAATTTGGTTTTTGTAAAGGGAAAAGAACGATTGATGCAATCGTGAGTGTACTCAAAGCATTATGCATAGAGGTGACGAACATCGCTGTTGTTTGATGTAAGCAATGTATTCAATACGCTTCAGTGTAATGTGGACCGTCACTGGATGTGTTCCGTTGCATGTTTTGGCAGTGGAAAGAAAAGAGCTGTATGAGAAAAGAGGCTCAAACCTTACTATGGCCGAGAGAAGACAGGAAAGAAAAAGGTCAATTGAAAAATAACAAAAAGAATAAAACAACACGGAGGATGTGGCACAGTGGCGAAAATGCTGATCCTGAATATAAGAGATTGGGTGGACTGTGACCACAGGCGAGTAGATTATTTACTGATGCAGGTGCTCACAGGACATGGGTGTTTTAGGCCCTATCTCTCTAGGTTCAAAAAGGCTGACACAGATGAATGCCTGTACTGTGGACACTTCGACAGTGTGACACATACGATGTTAGAGTGCAACAGATGGATAGTAGAAAGAAACAAAATAGAAAGGAAGACAAGTGTGAATTTTGTTCCAGTTACCCACCTAACAGTTTGCTTAATTTTTACAATAAAAATTTTCGTGGGAAGGAAACTATGATCAAATTGTTATTGGTTGGTCATACTTTTGTGTGGTTAGTTTTTTAGCAAGCTGGGAGAAAATTAGGAACAACATTAAAGAAGCAGCAACAGAAGCTCTAGAAAAACACAGTCATACTAAACAAAAGAAACAACAACAATGCACCATGGTTCAGAAAAGAACTAAAAGAGAAATGTAAAGAGAAACGAGAGGCCTACACGACGTAGGCACCTATAGGTGTCAATATGTCAATATAGAAAATTTACACAATTTATTTAGGAGGCCAATATTAGATATTGAAGAAGAAACAGGCTTTAAAGCCTACATTCAAGATAGAAGAAGACATTTTTAACTAATAAGTATTTGACATTTCCAATTCCACTCACAAAATCTTTGTCAAAACAGTTATTATAAAAGATTCTGCAAAAATATATAACCAAAGTTATTTGTTATTAGGTAATGCTAACTTTATTTAAGATATAGATAATAAGATATTTTTCTATTTTAGCTGATCTTTCCCCAATCTCCACACATGTACAAGTTATTGAAGACTGGCTTTTGTATGGAGGTGGTGTCTACGACAACCCAAAATGTGGCAATGGCTTAGCAACACTCAATCATGGGATTCTCGCTGTTGGTTACGGAGTGGATGAGAAAGAAGGAAAAGAATACTTTACACTTAAAAATTCTTGGGGTAGCGATTGGGGAGAAGAAGGCTACATTAGGGTAGTTCGCAACAAAAAGCAATGTGGTATTAGCACCCGTGCCTCATTTCCTATTTTGTGGTTTGAGTAAACATATTGTTGTAGTTAAAATTGATCTGAGATATTAAAAAAAATTTCATTAGTGTTATTCTCTTAATATAATATAACCTGCTAATATGTACACTGACAAAATTAAAAAAACCATACAAAATAACCATGTCCAAAAGTGATGATAGAGTGAGGATTTTTTTTACCAGGAGTGTATATACGTTTATGCACTTAATGTGAATTGCAACAATCTGAAGAAACACTCTTTTCACCCGTAATATACCTAATATACTATTATGGTTATATACTATTTTACTAAAAATGCGAAAGGTGAATGGATTCTTAGCCACGGTCGTAAAATGATAACAGTTTAAAAGAGACTTGTAGGATTCGACGGTCGCTAAAACGCCACCTAGTGATTCTAGTATCAAAATTGTCATTTAATTTCATTAAGTAAAGTAGATACAATAAAAATGAAAACAAAGTTTTGCGGTAAATAAAAACCACAAAAATAAACTGTAAAAAAAATTCTTCTGTTATTTCGAGAACGTCTTCCACTTTCAAAGGCGTTTGGTCTCCAATAAATCTGGTTGGTTTTAAATAATCATCTAAATTTAGTTTTAATTCCGTTTTTAGGCTTGAGTTTTGTGCATTTTGACTCTAGCTGTAGCATTAAGACACATGGAATTAAAAATAGTTGTTAACATTTTTTATTGTAAATATTTCTTGCATAGTGATACAGTGGAGTCAAAACTTTTAATTTTTTTCAAAAACTGTTCGTTTTCTTCTTTCGCATTATAATATGTTTTCATAAAAATACATCATTTCCTCTGTTCTACTTGTTCATGGTATAAACTTAAGCGTTAAACTCTTTAAACAATATTCATTTTTCAATCAATGAATATGTCGGTTTCATCAGTCAATTACCATTGTGAACACGGTTTAATACACAATGACGGTATTAGATTTTGATACAGAGCAGCAACAAGCCGCATATACGTATTTCGACCTCTTTAGGTCTCCTCAGTACGGTATAGCCACTACTCCGTATCGAAACAAAATATTTTCCCGTCGTAGACCATAGTTATTAAAAATAACTATGTACATACGTAACTACGCCATTTAGGAACAAAAAGACAAATCATACGATTTCTACCTGGCGAAATCGAATTCAAATATCAACCACCGTGCTTCCTAAAACTTGGGAAGCAAACAGCTTGATGAATAAATCGGCAAGGGAATCTAAAATTGCACTCCAAATGTCGTTCATCATGGCGAATATTCGTAGTGAATTCGATTTCTGGTACTGCAAACGAAGTAAAGAAATAAAACACAATGACGGTATTAGATTTTGATTCGATACAGAGCAGCAACAAGCCGCATATACGTATTTCGACCTCTTTCGGCTATACCGTACTGAGGAGACCTAAAGAGCTCGAAATACGTATATGCGGCTTGTTGCTGCTCTGTATCGAATCAAAATCTAATACAGTCATTGTGTTTTATTTCTTTACTTCGTTTGGAGTACCAGAAATCGAATTCTCTACGAATATTGGCCATGATGAACGGCATTTGGAGTGCAATTTTAGATTCCCTTGCCGATTTATTCATCAAGCTGTTTGCTTCGCATGTTTTAGGAAGCACGGTGGCTGATATTTGAATTCGATTTCGCCAGGTAGAAATCGTATGATTTCTCTTTTTGTTACGGTTTAATACCTTTTATTTTGGGAAAATATTTCGAATGGTCTAATTTTTCTTTATTATAAAATGCTGTAATCGCAACCTGTATACTCATGGAAAGCAGAAATACTTTTTATGAGTATTGATTCTGCAATTTTTCCAATGTTTGTAGCATAGAGTTACCAATGACGTGTAAGTCATAAAAATCATCTATTATTTCGACGTTAATAAATGTGGGTATTCTATTTTAAAGTTTTCAAAATGTTGCTTTATGAGTTTCAACATTTCAACTGTTGGTGATCAATTGTATCATCAAATATATTAATCATTTCTTTTATTCTCTTTGTGATGCTATTTTAAATTTTACCTTTTTGCGAAAAATGTAATGTATTATTTTAATTAGTTAATCCAATATTTTCTTTAACAGTTGATAATATTTTTGTCCTTATGATGTGGCTGAGTGCTCATGCTTTGTATTCACCGCTAGTTTTAAACTTTGTTGTTAAACTTTTTAGTAGAATTTATAGAAAAAGAAAAACAAAATTATATAAGCACCTCTTGTGTTTTTATAATTTTTAACATACTTTCATATCAAATAATGTTTATCAAACAGATCAGTGAAGGTATTTTTTATATCCCCTATTCCTATACTAATAGATTTCACGATGACAAATTCACGAAACTTGAAAAGCACTGGAGTAGAACATTTTTTAGCATTGTGTATAAAAAATGCAAGTTACTCATGATAACAAGTACAAACCTATTCATTACGTACAATAAGTTATATTAAAATATAAAATGATAAATCCGATATATTAATAAACAAACGGTATTGTTTTATTAAATTTAGTAGAAAAATAGAAATATTTCCATGAAAATCTGCGTTATTAAAATGTGTTTTTCAAATGTTATTCTCAATTAAAATTTTCCAATACTCCTTTGACATCTCCGACATCTATACGAGAGCTGCACAATCTTGTAGGTGTAGAAAACATCTTGAATGATCTTTAAGTTATGCTACCCAGATATGCATGAAATTCCAACAGAGGAGATGGCTGTTGTTAAAGAGCTTATTAATTATATCTTAAACATATTTAAATGCAATGAATTTATTTCATTATAGATATAAAACTAATAAGATTTCAATCAGTACCATGGCACAATATGACTTTAGATCTTAGAAGTATGTTTAACAACTATTCACACTAATAGATATCACTGAGAAATTAGGTGGGGAAAAGTCGATCTTAGGTCCCAGCCAATTGAGTAGGTAAAATATATACACAACCCAACTTATATATTTATTTCTTTTGAAAAACTGTTATTGTGGCGAAGAATATAGGTTTTTACTAAAAATTAACAAACCACCAAACCGATACGTTATAGATTATTTGTTTTAGTTGTAAATTCATCATCATGATCCAGCCTTCATTTATCACGTCCACTACTGGACATAGCTCGCCCTAAAATCCTCCATTCTTTGCGATTTTGTGCTCTTTGTCGTCAATTTTTCGTGATACGCCTGATATCGTGAGCTCAACATGTAGGTGGTGTTCTTTTAGTATGTTTGTCTGCTTTTGGATTCCAATGTGTAATTTTGCTCGTCCATCGTGAGTCATGCATTCTCGCTACATGGCCTGCTCAATTCCATTTAAGTTCCGCTATGCCTTCCATAACATTAGCAATACTCGTCCTTCTTCGCAGATCTTCGTTTCCTATTCGGTCGCGTAACGTCACTCCCATCATAGATGGTTCCATTCGTCTCTGTGCCACTCTCAATTTTAAAGCGAAAATACGCCTTATGTGGGGTTAACACAGGCGCAAAGGGGAAATATTATTGGTCTTGTGGAATAAGGAATGTCTCAGAGTTACATAGAGGCAGTGGTGGTAGGCGTAGTACACGGCGTTGTGTCAAAAACTTATGCTAGGTATCGGAAATTAGTAACGCTTAAGAATATACTAAGACAAAGTGACCAAAAAGTAACGATGGCTCGCCACGATCGTTTCATTGGTCAATTAGCTAGAAGAGACCCAACAAGTGTAAGTCTTTCAGTTAAAATGATAAGAAAAAGCCTATATACCCAAGGATTATAAAGCAGTTAACAGTATTATCCAGACTCAATATTGACCGCTTAAATTGGTATTTTTAACACCAAAACTGCAATTGACATTGACAAAATGTGCTATTTTCAGTTGAAACTAGGTTTTGTGAAAAATCAGATGATCGACGAATTCGTGTACTTAGAAAACAAAGAACATAAGCAAAAATAGAAGTTACCAGATCTCTTCACACATAAGAAAGTGCCATGTACTGAGGAATAATGATGATCAGTAAAAAAACTTCTTTAATTTTCATCCAACCAACTTTGACAACTCGTAGGTATTTTAATTTGGTTCTATAAACTGTAGTTATGCTCTGGAAAGGTGCAATAGGAGAAAATTTAATTTTCATGCATATACGCCTGCACATACTAACAGAGTGATTATACACTTCCTTGAAGCAGAAAATATCACTGTTCTGGAGTGACCTGCTTGCTCACCTGACCTTAACCCTATGGAACAGTTGTGGGATATACTTAAAAGAGGAATTCGAGATCGCCAGGAGAATCCTCCAAATACTACACAGCTAGTACAAGCTGCTCTTGAAAAATGAAACAAATTGTCATAACAAAATATTAACAATTTGTTAAGGAGCAAAACCACGCAAATTGAAGTTTGTATGGTGGTTGCAATGACTACCAAAAAAAAAGAAATACATAAAAACAATAATTTACACATTGATCATTTCACTTTGAAAATTTTTATGTCATTAACTTTAAATCAAGTGGTTTCAGTTTATTATTTCAAGAAATTACCGTTTTCTGATCACCGTCAAGAATCAATGATTGAATGACTTTATAATCGCTACATTTCTTAATGTTTGGTTTTATAGGGAGAGGAAAAATATCAATTTTTATTTCACCAGTCCGATGAAATTTCTGGTATTATAAATGTAATTAAATAGTAAAGTTAGTTCTTTTATAACGTAATTTAAGAGTAATGTTAGCCATTCATTGTATATTGAATCACATCTACTGGATTTATTGTTTTTAACTTGCATAAAATATTGCTATCTTCTAAAATTAGTAACTAGATGCAGTAAAATTCAATAAATTTCCATTTTTTAGATAGCTTTAGATAAAAGCATCTATTTATTAGTCAAATATCTTGCTAAATTATTTAACTTAACTCATCCAAACAACTGTAGGTAGTTTTAAGTTTTCTGTCGATCAATGAAACTTCACCTGACCATGTTAACTTTTATCAGATTGGTGTTTACAAGTTTCTTAAACGTTATCAGTAGCTGATTGCTTCGGGGCAGGAAGTCCCGGTCCAGATTCCACCTGCAAAATAGCGAGAGAATACGTTGACGTTTGACAATTATAGTATTATATTTAGAGTTACAATATATACAGTACGTCCATTTTAAAACTTACAACGGGCTATATCTAACGAATAAAAGCTGATATCAAACAATGTTTGAAACCGTTTCTAGGATAGAGAGGGGAAACTAAACCGACATGAAAGAGAACTCACCCCCATCCACCTAGGCTGCACCCACTTCAATCAACAAAGTTAAAATTGCAAACTCCTACTTATGAAAAGACTATAAAAATGCTATCCAATGGTATAAATAATAATCATATAGGGTGAAGCAATAATTGTAAAACTTTGGCTTAAATGGAAAATTTAATAAGGTTTTTGTTGAACTGCAAATTTGTTACTAATGTCAATTAAGTAAATATTTAAAGTGGATTGTATTGTTTTTTTTATTGGGTTTAATGCGTCGACAACTAATGGTCATTGGCATGGAATTTTTACAGACAGGTACCTTGTGTAGTGTGTGTGTGTGTGTGTGTGTGTGTGTGTGTGTGTGTGTGTGTGCTTAGCAAAGTCGACGTCATTGTCTTTGCTAAGAGACGCTAATTGTTCCGAACGTCTGCGGTCCCTCCGGTGAGTACCGATCGCACAAGGGTAGAAATTATTTTCATTCATTAATTTTTAATAAACGAAAATTTCTCCACCCAGGTGACATTCGAACTCACGACCTTTAGGTTCAAAGGTAGGCGCTCTTACCACTGAGCCACAGAGGGGGTTATTTCATTGTTTTGTAAACAATAATACAGCTTATTTTTTAATTCTGCACGAACTTGCAAATGTTGTTTTACTAATAGCGCGACATGCTTGCGTAATTATTTCTCGCAATTCCCCAAGTGACACAGGTTGAGTTTTATAAACAGCTGACTTACGAAAACTGCATACGAAAGCTGCACTCTTTACCTTTAAAACGAAACTTGATTTTTGTAGAGAGGACACTCAAATCAAAAGATATTGGATTTTTACCATCGAGCTGATACAAAATTTATTGAACATTCATTTCGCGTGCGTAATTGACATTCAAAATCGCTCGATTGCTTTAATCGTAATTTCTGAGAGAACAATTCATCCTACACAAAAAATGCTAATGAACGTCTTTGTTAAAAATTATCTTAGTTACATTTTTTATTTGGATCTCGCTCTGCAATTGTGGCTTTGCTTGGCAGGTCGTTCGCCAGACGTAATTGGCTGAAGAGTGTTTTATCCTTACCATATAAAAACATCCTAGTACAAACCTCCTCGTTAGTAGAGCTGGGAATCCATATTCGTTGTATCAAAAATACGAGCACTTTTTAGAGCACGCACTCTGATTTGGCTAATAGTGATTGCTAATTGTACAGGGTGTACCCGATTGGTAGTGTGCGCCATATTCAAGCTCTGGTCGGTCCCTGTGGGATCCTTGACTCCGCGCACCAGTGCAGTTACTAGCATGTCGGGTTTTCGAACTCTTCTAAGGCTGTACACCCTTCCAGATTTTTGAAAGCCTAGTTTTTTAGAACAGCGTAAATCCCAAATTATCTAAGTGGTGGGTAAGTTATTTTTTCCTACTCATCCAGCTATTCTACTAACCATCGAACCAGATGGTCATCTGCATCTGTGGTACTAACTTGTTGTTGGATCTTGACCTTTCGAATTACATTTCGGATTCCACATAACAATATTTAATTTAAACACGCCAAAATAAAACAGTCTTATAAACTCTTTAGAATGGGACAGAACAATACATTGCAATATGGTAGTTTTATTGTCATTTTAAAATTATATGCTTACATTAGTTTTTTCTTTGAGTGACAATATAATTAAATATGTTGTATTAAAATATGTATTGTACTTTTTCAAAAACGTTTGTAGAAATTATCTTTATCTACATACTTATGATTTATGAGATAAAAAATAGTACAAGCTAAATTTTTTGGTTTTAAAGTTTAGTGCATATTGTTTAAAAACGTAAGTAGGTTTATATTGTTTTTTGGAATTTGTATAAAAATTTGTATTATAATATTTGCTATAATTTCTTCTGTATCTTTTTATTTTTTAGTTTAAATATTTCCTTTTTCTCATATTGTTTTAGTGTAAAAACAAACGAAACAATAGATGAAACATGGGATATGTTTGGGGTTGATGTAATGTTGAACCTCGTCGATTATCACTACGTCGAGCTTTTGACATACTCTTCGTTATTTTCTTCATTTCAGGGCTTCCCAGGTCTCAATCTCCCGATCCCCCAGGTACTAATACACTGCTTAGTAATCGTAATTAATAATAATGCATGGATTCTCCAAGATATCTCCTTTTTTGTGTATGGTGTAAAGTATTTTAATATTCCAGTCTTTGGGGAGAGATTTCTGTTTCAATATTTCTGCTGTAAGTAAGCTGCTGTAATGCCATCAAGGTATCGTGGCCACCTTCTTCATATAGTCTAGCTGGAAGATTATCTATTCTGGGTAATTTGTTTCTGGCTAGCTCTTAACTGCATCTTTGACTTCAAGAATCCTTGGTAGTTGCTCTGCCCTCTCGTCTGTTCCGCTTACCCTCATCTCTTTCGTCTTGCAGGTTTTCTTTTTCATCCTCTGTATTAAGTGCCTGGTTAAAGTAGTGCACATATCTATTCAATACCTCTTTCCTTGTTGTTTATAGGCCGTAATTCTGATTTCTGCATTGTCTTGTATTTGTCTTGGATTTCTGTTGATGTTAACTTTCTTATAGAATGCTCTGAAACCAATAATGTATCTCTTCCCTAATATTTTCATAAACTCCATATATTGCTCTCTATTGATAAAATATCTAGGAGTACAATAATAAAAAAGTATTTTGTCTTGTACTTGCTCTGTTAGATTTATTATTTAGATGCATCATTAGAATATTTGTTATGATAAACTTTATATCCCTTTAATTGTATACATGAGTAGTTAGTAAAATATGTCTCAGATATGATATGAGATACAGATTAATTTTTTCCATATGTAGAACTGCTTAAAGTTTATTGTGTTGTTGAATCAGTTAGGTAACTTATTTTTATCTCTGTATGAAACAATTTAATAAGTTTATATTCCAATAATTTTCAGGAAATTTAGAGATAAGTTTTCGATGAAAAGAATAATTCTATTTGCAACTGTTTGGTTGGCAGTTTATGCACTGTCAGATCAAGATGCATGGAATTCCTTTAAGGTAAGAAATTACAGACAGCTTAAAACAAAATAAGAGCAAATATTTACGTTACTACCATTTTTATTCTATGTGGAGTTAAGAAGTTATTTAATTCTTCCTTAAATACAAGTAGATATTATATATTAACTTTTCCCCTTCTAATTTTTTTTTTCTTTTATTTTATATTTGACGTCTTTTTCCCTCTTTACTACTCTATTTATTGTCATATCGGCTTATATGATGGTTTTATTCTATTATTGATAGATGAAACGTAAGGATAAAATACGTATAAGTGAATATACAGAGGCACTTTGGATTAACAGAGGGTCTTCGACTAGTATATTTGAAGAACCCTCTGCCTAACTTCCATCTTAAGTTGTTAGGTAACATTTCTTACACAGGAAGTAAATAAAACACAGGAGTAGCAGGTGGACAAGGTCCAGCTATAGAGCCAAACATTCGTAGAACCAGGGGACAGCCCCGAATTCGGACTCCCAGGGTACAGATGACCCAATTTGAGATTCGAGACCAAACTAAGGCCGAGTCTCAGCCCCCAAGAGTATAAAATATCGCATATTTATATGGCATTTTCAGATCTCTCGGCCAATAGTAAAATTGAAAGAAGTTTTAAGGCGGGGCAATGCGCATCAGGGTGCGTATTAGTCCACGACTTATGCACCTTCTTTTTCTTTAAGTGCTATCTCCGCGAAGAAGGTTGGCAATCATCATGGCTATTCCGACCTTCGTGTCAGCTGCTCTGAACAATTGCCTAGAACTGCAACCAAACCACTCTCTCAGGTTCTTCAACCAGGAAACGCGTCTTCTTTTTACGGTTCTCCTACTCTATATTTTTCCTTGAATTATGAGTTTCAAGATGATGTATCTTTCGCCTCTTATCACATGTCCGAGATATTGCAATTTCCTTTCTTTTATTGTATTTTCCATTTCCCTCCCTCTGCCTATTCTCCTTAACACTTCTGTATTCGTGACTCTATCTATCCATGGAATCTTTAACAATCTTCTAAATGTCCACGTTATTTCGATTTATTATAACGCGGTAGGTCGATTTATTGTATACCAGTTTAATGTCCATTATTCAGCTCCATAGTAGAGTAGATTTTAGATTTAGTTAGCCTTATTTCTGCAATATAATCGTTATTTTATATGATTATTGTTCCCAAGTAAGTATATCTTTTTACTCTCTTAATCTGCTGGCCGCCTACCATTAACATTTCGGCCAAGTTCAGAACTAGAATATCAACACAAACAACAGACAAACAGATGAAGATGGAAAGATGGAATGTGTCTAGATTGGAAGAAGAAGAGGGACAGAGACAATACCAACTAGAATTGAGAAACAGATTCCAGGTGTTGGAAACGAAAGAAGAAAATGAAAGAAAAAATATAGACCAGAAATGGCACTCCATTAAAACGATCATTACAGAAACAGCAGAGAAGTGTATAGGTCGGAAGAGAAAAGCAAAAAGAAAAAAATGGTTTGATGAAGAATGCAAGAATACCTTAAAAGAAGCAAACAAAAGAAGAATCGACTACCTAGCAAACCCGACGGATGAAAAGCGTGAACAATACAATAGAGAGAGAGCCTTAGCCAGAAGAACAGTAAGGAGAAAAAAGAGACAACATTTACAACAACAAAGTGAAAAAGTAGAACGTGAACACAGAAGCAAACAAAATTAAAAATTCTACAAAGAAGTAAAACAACATAAGAAAGGTGCATATATAAGAACACCGAACTTTGTGAGAGCTAAAATTGAGCAAATGATTACAGCTGAAAATAAAATATTCGAAAGATGGGCTGAATACTTTGAAAGTCTTCTAAATGTCCAGGTAGACGCGGATGGAAATAAAGCAAATTGTGAGTACCAAACGGCCGAGATAGAAGTACCCCCGCCAAGCCTGGAAGAAATTATCATCATAGGCGATAGAAACCCTAAAAAATGACAAATCCCCGGGACTAGACAATATTGATGCAGAACTGATTAAAAAAAGGAGGGCATGTACTTAGAATTAAAATACACCAATTAATGAAAGAAGCCTGGGAATGGAGTGGCTGTATTATCGTGCCAATACATAAAAAAGGCAGAAAGGATACATGTGGCAACTACAGGGGAATCTCACTAATCGGTACTACATATAAGATATTAGCTTCAGTTGTACTAAAACGATTACTGCCATATACAGAGGAAATTATTGGCGATTACCAATGCGGCTTTAGGCCTGAAAAATCAACAATCGACCAAATATTTACTATCAGACAAATGCTAGAAAAGTATTGGGAATATAATAAAGAAGTACACCAGATCTTCATAGATTTCAAACAAGCATATGATTCCATAGATCGCTTAAAACTGTGGAGTGCAATGATGGAGTTAGGCGTACCAAAGAAGCTGACCATGATTGCGCGAATGTGTGTCAACAATTTCTTTGCACAAATTAGAATAGGAGGCAAAATTTCAAAGGCTTTCGGCATAAGCACCGGGCTCAGACAGGGAGACCCGCTGTCCCCATTACTATTTAACCTAGCATTGGAATACGTAATGCGAAAAATCTATACCAGAGTCAAACCAGACATAACTGCCAGAGGAGCAAAGATTATTCTCGCATTTGCAGATGAGGTAGATGCAGTAGCACAGACAACACTGGAAGTTAAGGATATAGTATCGAACTTTGAAGAAGCAACACTAAGCGTAGGCCTAAAAATAAACGAAGAAAAAACTAAATACATGGTCGTATCAAAAACGGAACGACAGCGAATAAGACAAAACATTACCATAAACGATCTTAATTTTGAGGTGGTCAAAGAATTCAAATACCTAGGAGCAACAATTACCAGTAAAAACACAAGAGAACGGGAGGTTGAAATACGAATACCGGCGGGAAATAAATCATTCTTTGCCATTCGACATCTAATGAGGTCAAAGCTTCTCTCAAGGCGTGCAAAAATCCAAATGTACAAAACCATAATACGACCAGCAGTGACATATGGAAGTGAAACATGGACATTGAGAAAGAAAGAAATCAATATGCTATTAGTATGGGAACGCAAAATCCTGCGAATTATATATGGTCCTTGCAGGGACAGCGTGACAAATGAATGGAGGAGCAGATACAACAATGAAATAGAGACTCTCTTCGGGAAAGGAAACATCGTAAGATACATAAAAGCCAATCGATTAAGATGGGCAGGCCACGTGGTACGGAGTGATGATGACAGACTGATTAGCAATGTGTTTTGGGAAAGACCAGATGGTAGAAGATCGACAGGAAGGCCTAAAAAAAGGTGGAAAGACGCAGTCAGGGAAGACCTGGAGAAGATGGAAGTAAGGCCATGGTAAATAATAGCACAGGATCAGAATCAATGGAAGGCAATAGTAAACGCGGCAAAAACTCACGAAGAGTTGTAAAAGCCAATGATGATGATGATGCTATTATGACGGTATCGTCGGCATACCTAATGTTGTTATATAACTTCCGTTCGCTTTTATACCAACTGTCTCGTTTACCAAAGCTTTGTATAATTTCTTAAGAATAAGCATTAACAATAACGGCGATACTATGCAACCTTGCCTAACCCCTTTCCTTATATCCACTTCTTCTGACACGTCTTCAAATTTTCACATTTGATCGTTGGCTGTAACATAAATTTGATATCAATGTTACATCCCTCACATCCAGATTCTTGTTTTTTTCTATACTACTACTACTTCTATAAGTCGGACATGTTTTACTTTATCGAATGCCTTGTTGTAGTCAATAAAGCATACATAAAGATCTCGATTAACGTCCAAACATCTTTGGGTTAGCACTAGAAAATAGTGCCTCTCTTGTGCCCACCCCGTTCCGAAATCTAAACTGAGAATCACCAGGAATCACTGGGAATGCACTAAGATAACAAAATCAAATCTTAACTGCCCTTTCTGTTATTTCAGTATGTTCTTTATGAGTACAAGAAACCAATTCGCCAAGATTTTTGCTTAAATGAGGAATTATAATGAGGAATGCAACTTTTAGATCCTCCATATCTCTTTTACATCTTTAGCATCGTCTGTTTTGCTTTGCAAATTTATAGAAGGCATAGATTAAAGTAAAAATCTAAATTTTGATTTCGCCGATAAAAATCTTTGGATTTCTACTTTCGAGTTTTATTGGTGATAACCTTTCTTACTATAATTATTTTTAATAAAGTGAAGTTTCCAACACAGTTTTCTATCTAGATGTTAACTAGATACTAGCAGAGTCTTAACACGGCCTTGATTACTGTATAACCTAATACCTTTTGTAACTCTTTCCTACATAAGATGTAGAAAAGTTTTTTATTTTTTAGGTAGACTACTCTAGAAGTTATAAAGTAAAAGAAGACCAATTTCGTTTTCAAATATTTAAACGGAATTTACGTGAAATTAAAAAACACAATGTAAAATATAATCGTGGAGAATCTTCCTACTATTTGAAAATTACCGAGTTCGCTGATTGGACTGACGAAGAATTTAATAAGTTGATTAAGAGAAATAATATTTCCACAAATGAGTTGTTTGAAAATGTGGAAGGTAGAGTTGATTTGGAAGTTACTGATGATCTTCCAACATCTATAGATTGGAGAGAGAAAAATGCCGTTACAGCTGTTAAAAGTGTTTTTGACTTTGATCTAATCTGTTGTGCCGGTTATGCTTTTAGTGCTGTAAGTATGTATATATTTTATTATTTATTTTAAATGCATTCCGAAGTCAGAAACATATTTTCAAATGTAATGAAATTGTAATTTGTTCTTCTTCTCCTTTTCTAAAGTTTCTTGTAATGTTAGCAACCGCATTGGCCCACACATCTAATAATAATCACAGCAGCTCGAAACAAGTAATTCAACGTATGACTGAAGCTCTGTATAATTTCATAACTCTTGCTCAAAAATGTCGAGAAGAACAAAAATAACTTTTCGTCGCATTTGTAGACTATGAGAAAGCTTTCGACAAAGTTAAACATAACTTTCTTATGGAATGTCTAGAAATAAACTAAATAAAAATAATATATAACATAGTGAGAAATCTCTATTGGAAACAACAGGCTGAAATAACATTATATGGAAATGGCATATATGCGTAACAGATAAGTAGAGGTATGAGAAAAGGCTGCGTAGTTTCACTATTACTATTTAATATATACTCAAAAGGGTTATTTACACAAGCACTTAAAAACTGTTTAGAAGAGATCAATATAAATGATGAAAATATAGATATCGTTCGTTATGCCGACGATACAATCATTATAGCTGAAAGTGAGAAAGATCTGCAGATGCTACCGAACACAATATGTGCTACTGAGGAACAGTTTGGTTTAGCAATAAACATAAGGAAAGAGGAGTAAAGTTATAACAAGGATTCAGGTAAAAAATAAAAATATTGAACACGTGAACAAAATGAAGTATTTGTTGGTCTAGATTACTGAAGACCTAAATGAAAAATCAGAAATTCGATCAAGAACAGAACAATCTAGAGCAGTCTTTTTGACGATGAGGAAATTTCTCTACTATTTTATTATACTTATTTATATTGTGCAAATAATTATTTCCATCTTTTAGTGCGGATCACTTGAAGGACAACTTGCCATACATACCAATCAGTTGGTCAACTTAAGTGCACAAGAATTGTTGGACTGCTCTGGTTGGAACAAAGGATGCGATAGTGGAATGGCGGCTTGGTCATTTTATGACGTAGAAGCACAAGGTTTATGCTCAGAAGACCAATATCCGTATAAAGGTATTGATGCAGACTGTTTAAAAGATGTAATTACAAGTCCAATTCTTGCTAAGACCAAAGAACATGTAGAACTCAATGCAAATGAAACTACGCTTTATAATGCTGTGGGTAAGTTATATATTTCCACATCAGTTGTGGTTTACTATAACATTGGATTGTAGACTTATTCAAACTGCAGTTTAAATAATATCAGTTTAATACGTCACGATTCCTTTTCTTTTAAAATTGTTTTTTAGTACATTAATTATATATTTTTTCCGCTTAGTAGTTTTAATTCTAACGACCTGATGCTACAATTAAAAGAAATCTGACTTTTTCGTTAACGTATGGTAACTATAAACTCTAAAAATAGACCATATCAGCTGCATAATATGGTCCATTCACACAGCTCGAAAATATTTTGACAGATTTATGTTCAGAAAACTATAACACAAAATTACCTATCTTACACTATTACCAACTGAAATAACGTTACTATTGCAGACTTCTTTCATTAAATAAAGAACAGTTATAATAAATAATGGTCTATACTAAATCTATAAAAATATTCGCATATATTAAAAAATATACTCCTTATCTTAGCAACTCTGCGTGGATTAGCATCCTCAAGAATTCCCTTCTTCCGCCAAGCATTCCCATTTTTCTCATGTCTTTATCGATGTTATCAAGGAACCTTATTCTGGGTCTTCGACCCAAGACGTGAAATGTCACGCGAGTGACGTGACATTCGACGTAGGACGTGACATCAGATGTGAAATGTCACGTGAAATGACGTGAATGATGTGCATGTGCTACGTTAACCGTTAGACATGTTTTAGCGACAAAATTTTTGATATTAAAGTTGAGACAAGAGATAATGTATGTACCAGCATGTAAAGCATATAACAATGCCCATTCCGAACATCTATACAAATATGTCAGATGGCTTAACCCTCGCACTTTTGCGAGACTTGAGCTTAAATTCAGTGCCTTTTACCACTTGGCCAATCTGACCTGTAAAGCAACAAAAAAACCTTATATATAACATGAAATATTATTATGTAGAAAGGTCTGTTCATGTATATTACGTTTAATGCTATACGATCATTATATATGACTGAAAAACTATCATTCGTCTGCACAGCAGATTATTTTAAGTTGTTTTTTCCCATTTGGTATCCTTTTTAGGTCTTTTTTTATTATTTCATCCATAATAAGGTTGAATATTGGAGGACTTAGCTAATATCTCTGCCTTATCCCATTACCAGCCTCAATAGGGTCAGTTAGTTCTTCTTCTAATTTAACTTTTATTGTGTTGTTTGAGACGTGGTTGTATCGAAGGATACTAAAAATTCCATGGACTAGCAGAACCAGTAACGAAGAAGTTCTTCGAACAATGGGACATCAACGAACTCTATTAAATATTATTAAGAGGCGTAAACTAGAATATCTTGGACATATAATCAGAGGACCAAGATATGAGTTCCTTCTGCTAATTCTCAACGGTAAAATCGAAGGAAAGAAATGGATAAGACGGAAGAAACTCTCTTGTTTGAGGAATTTGCGGCAGTGGACAGGTTTGAAAGCGGACCAATTGCTACACGTAGCGCAAGACCGAGATCAGTATAACAATATTATAAGCATGGTAGTCGCCGACGTTCCGTAGAGATATGGCACTCTAAGAAGAAGTGTTGTTTTGGTAGATATTTTCAATCGTTTTAATTATTCCTATTTCTATTGCGTAAGTTGATATTGTCCTTTAATTTGACCTCGCCAAATGAGTTCTTAAGGTCCACGAAACATAGATATGTCCGTTTGTAATATTCTTATAATTTCCATTGCACTTGTCTCATTATAAATATATCAAGGTGCATGATCTTCCTGACCTAAAACGATATTGTTCTTCTCGTAGTGGTATAATTTCATTAAGTTTATTTGTTATTACTTTGGTTGTTAATTTTAGTGTTGTGTTTAATAAATCAATTCTTCTGCAATTTTCCGGGTCCGATTTGTCCGGCTTTTCAAAGAGAGTTATTAGTATGCCTGATTTTTATTCTTAGGGAACTTTGTTTTGTTCTATTAATTTTTGGATTATTTTTAATAGATGTTTGGTTGCATAGTCTGAGTTAGAATTCGTTCGATATTCTGTCCTTTCCTAAAAATTTTATACTTTTTAATTTTCTTGATTGTTACGGTTAAAGTGTTAAAGTTAATTATATAGGTAAAAAGAAATAAAATAAGACTTACTCAATAATACTAATCAATTTAATTTTACCACCAAAACGACCAGTTTCGCTTACTACACTTTGCTAAGCATTTTCAGGTCTAACGGTACCAGGTAAATTAAATCATGAAATATCAAAAGCCTACATTAGGGTACTGTCTTATGAAGATAACAATTACGCAATTGCAGATAATTCTGCCAATATTACGTGCCTGTGATTATTATTATGAATAAATGTGATGAAGCAGACAAAGTAAAAACCCAAAAATTGGTTAAAGATAATCTATTGAATTGAAAAAACTTCCCAAAGTAAAAAGAACTTTCCCGCTAATTATCAAACAGTTACAATAAAACCGATGATCACCCGTCACCAGCAATCCAGGATAGTTTGAACTTGTTTCCCGAATCTTAAATTAATAATTCTTGTACCGGCATGTTAGTAGTGATTTGGTAATTTACTAATTTATTTCAATTCAATAGATTATCTTATACCAATTTGTGGGTTTTTACTTTGTCTGTTTTATCAAGTTTATTCATATTAATAATCACAGAGATGTAATATTGGCATAATTACTGTAATTTTTATCTTTATAAGATAGCACCCTTATGTGGACTTTTGTAATTTCAGCATTTAATTTACCTGGTAATGTTATACCTGAAAATGATTAGCAAAGTGTAGTAAGCGAAACCGGTAGTTTTGGTGGTAAAATTAAATTGATTGTGAGTAAGTCTTATTTTACTTCTTTTTGCCTATTTGAAATGGACTCACAGAGGCAACACATTTATGATTTGTTAAATTATATAAATATATCCTTAAATGTTATTATATAAATATTGATTAACCACCAGAAAAAAAATCAGGTGGTAAGTAATTATTTTTCATGACCTCGTTAATACATGTTGGTACAATACAATATTTTTTCGGCTAATTTTGATAATTATTTTAAAAATAAATAAGCAAAACCCTCGCTAGTAATAAATTTTTGAGAATAGCCAAATCAACATCCCTGTTCTCCCTGTTGGCTACCACAAGCGCAAATTTTTGTAAGGATAAAAGTTGGGCGTCTCTTTAAAATGAAGCGAAAAATAAGATTTTTAGTTATAAATGGTAAAAACGTGCTTCGGATCCCGGAATATTATAGTAACTCACTTATAGATTACTGTTGTTACATAGAACTTTGGAGGTGTATAGTTATGTGACCGATCCGTTGACAAGTTTGAAAATATTAATTTTTTTTTATTTTTTAGCTACTATTGGACCAATAAGTTCTCTTATCAATGGTACTAACTTGCGATTTTTTGGAGGTGGCATTTACGATGCTGAGTGTGAAGGTTTTCCCAATATAGACGTTCTTGTTGTCGGATATGACTCTAGTGATGGAGTAGATTATTGGATTTTAAAGAATTCCTGGGGTATCTCATGGGGAGAAGAAGGTTATATTAGAATACCACGTGGTAAAAATCAGTGTGGTATCATGTACTTGAATTCTTATCCAGTATTAAATTAGCACAAAATATGACTGACTTTAAATAACATGCCTGTTACAATGCTCTTTTAGTAAAATAGAATATATAGAATATGATGTTTTTCAATAATCCAAATATTTATTTTATTTTAAAATTAATGAATGTACTATTGTATGTACGTAATGTGGGTATTGGAGATACAAATATATCGTTATTTTTTTTAATATGAATATAATACCACTCCTTAGTTAAAAGCTAATTAAATTATTGATTATATAATACCCTTCTCTTTCTAATTTGGACATCTTTATAGATGTATAGTGATTATAAATATTGCGGTTATTTCATGAATCTTACACTCCATGCTCTTTTTTACGGTTCCTATCCATCTATTCCTATTTGGGTTGCATGTATCGCATATTAAATAAGTTAAAATTTAATAAGTTTGTTACGCTATTAGTCCTAGGATTTTTTTAACACCACATTTCAAATTCATCGATTCTTTTCTCATCGGGTATAAAACCTGTCTACGTATATAATTGTACGTATATAATTGTACGTATTGTACAAAGGAGTAGATTTAAAGATTCTGAGGTATATGAAAACAGGATTGATCAATTAAAAGACCATCCATGATATTTGACAAGGGATTTTAAAGGAAAATACTAAAACATCGATTTTTATTCCAAAGAAGTCATTCTTTAACAATACAGACATCTGTCATTTGTCACTCCCATCTGTTAATATGCAGACTACAATACAGCGTACAACCTAGAAAATGCAGTGCAGCCACTAATCATATTATGAAGGTACCTAGTTATTCTCAAGTCGCTTTAGGAAATCCTTGAAGACAAAATAAAAACAGTTTTTTATTTAAAAATGCCTTTATAAAAGGTATAATATTAAAAAACCCTATCGGGTTACATCTTCTTCTTCTTATGGTGCCCTATCCAATTAGTGGATGTTGGCCATAATTCTGGTATACTGCTCTCGATCTTGTGTGGATCTAAAAAGTGCATGGGCATCAAGGTTTGTCCAGTCCCTTATGTTTTTAAGCCATGAGTATTTCTTTCCTCCGATGTCCCGTTTTTCTTCTATCTTCCCTTTTATAATAAGCTTTAAGAACTGGTACATGGAATTTCGAAATATATGATCCAGATAAGCAGTTTTTCTTCTTTTATTATTGGCAGCAGCATGCTATGTCACAGAAAGTTTTCGCAATTGATATTCCATCATCAGTGCCATTTGAATATACATGTTTTATGCCACTAAATACATGGGTTTTTTTTGGCATAGACTAGGTGTCAATCAGTAGCTACAATATGACTAATACCTTAAACATAACAATTTAGTTATTGTAAAGTCCATAAAATATTAATATCGAAGAACTTGGTATTATGCTTAAGTATTAAAATTAAAATAGGATACAAGATAAACATACTTTCTTTTCAACAGCATTAGTGTGTTTAAAAACGGTACAGATAATATAATTTAAAATATTTTTATTTATGTTATCTCCTTTTTATTTATATTTACATATACACAAGATGATGAGGTTTTTAGAGTTTCACAGAAAACTTTTGAGCAGCTATCTACTCAATCCGACAGCTGCTTTGCTATGGACTGTCCAAGTTGCTCACCACAATTTTGCATATACATATATTTTTTTTTAGTTGACACTACATGACTATTTTGGTACTTGATAGAAACTTTACTAATGTATTATAAATTCTCTCATTTCCATTAGCTAAGAGACTGAAGGTATTAAACGGGGCCTGTATATTAAGATCATGTAGTTTTTGAGTAAATTGATCTTTTTTATCCTTATATTTTTGGCATTCAAAAAAAATATGATCTAAATCACATTTTTTGCTACAATTTTGACAAAGATCATTTTCGAGAACATGAATTTTATGTAGACGTGTGGGATAACAGGCCTCGCCAAATCCAAGACGAAAATATTTTCTTGAATAATTATAGGGATGGAAACACATTGTATTCGGTATTTGATTTTGTATATTGCAGTATCTAGAAGGCTTGGTATAAGTATGTTCTAACCAACATTCTTTCCAATTATTGAGATATTTCATTTTAATATAAACGACTGCATCACAAAAACGTACAGGTAGTTTATTGGTTAAACCATTTTTACACTTTTTTGTCAACATATTCACACACTCGTTATGTTCGAGACCAATATGTGCTTTAAACCCATACATAATTTTGTATGGGCTGTAACTTATACAAAATTATTGTTTTTGTTAAGTTTTTGCAGTTCTAAAATCCGTTTTTTAATTGTATGTATGATATAATTAGAGGAATAACTTGGGTACTTAGTCAAAACCAAGGAATTTAAAGTTTTGTAGATTGCAATAGCTTTAGCACTTATAGAATATAGAATTCCGGACTCCCTGTAGAGTACGGAATACTTCTGGATTTAGAATTTCATAATCGAACTTATACTGTAATAAACCCTTACAGAGAATGTGTAAAGAAATTTAGTCTATCTATCTATCTAATCTAATTAGCCTTCTTCGGTCCATCTTTGGACATAGGCCTCCCCAATCCTTTTCCATTCTTCTCTGTCTGTCGCTACAGTCATCCATCTAGAGCCCACGTGCTTCTTGATATCATCTACCCATCTCATTTGGGGCCTTCCTCTGCTTCGTTTATATTCCCACGGTCTCCAACTTATAAGAATTTTGTTCCATTGGTCTTCTTTTTTCTTATATTGTGTCCGGCAAATCTCCATTTCAATTTTGCAACTTCTTGTCTAACATCCCTCACTTTTGTTTTCTCTCTTATCCACTCGTTTCTCTTCTTATCCATTAGTCTTATGTGCAACATTTGTCTTTCCATTGCTCTTTAGGTTTTTATGATTTTGTCCATGTTTGCTTTTGTAGATGTCCACGTTTGGGAACCATAAGTAAGAACAGGGAGTACGCATTGATTATATACTTTGGTCTTAAGGTGCTGTGGGTATCTTTTGTTTTTAAGAATGTAGCTTAGTTTGCCAAATGCCGCCCATGCCAGCCTAACTCGTCTCTTGATCTCTGCTGTTTGGTTCTCTTTGTTAAGTTTTATAGTTTGACCAAGATATATATATATATATATAATATATATATATATATATATATATATATATATAATCCTTAACTTCTATTCATCTGTCCAATTCTCATTGTGATGTCTTCATATGTATTTGTTATAGTTTTGGTCTTGCTGTAATTCATATTAAGGCCTATCTTTCCAGCTTCTAAGTCCAGTTCTTTAATCATTTCAAATAATTCTTCTTTTTTATCGTTATTAATACGATGTCATCAGCGTACCTTAGATGGTTCAAGCGTTGTCCACAAATTTTTACTACCTTTTTTTCCCATTCTAATCTTTTAAAAGTATCTTCAAGAGCCTGATTGAAAAGTTTCAGTGATATTGTATCACCCTGTCTCACGCCTCTACTTATTTGTAATGATTTTGTTCCTTCATATACTTTAATTGTTGCTTTGGCTTCCTTATATATATTGGTTATTAGTTCCGTATATCTGTGGTCAATTCGGCTGTTAATCAAAGAACTTTTCACTGCCTAATGTTCGACACTGTCGAAAGCCTTTTCGAAATAAAAAAGAAATTTAATAGTAATGATTATTTTCATTTATCACTAAGTACTATTAAGAATAAGATCGAAAATACCTTTTTATGTAAATACATTGTGTTTTAATATTTTAAGCTAAATTTAAGTTGATTTGTAAAAAAATTTCAAGTCCGTAAATAAATATTACATTTATTATAAAATATTAGAACCTAATATTTTATAACATAACCTGCTATTTTCTCACTACAATGTCTCTAGTAATATCAGTTTATAACCATCATTAAGTGATTTTATTTCGTGAACCCCCATTTTTTCTGGACATTACGGCGAATCTTTCCCTAAACTTTTTATAGCTATTTTTACAATATACGCATGCTTAATGTTCCGGCCCTTACTACAATTTTCTCAATCCATTTATCCGTGAATTGACATATTTTCGCGCCACCACGGCGGGCGCAAAACCTTCATCGTTACTAAAAAAATCTACTTCCCTCGTGAATGTTGAGTTTCCGCATAGAAGCATCTTAAACACCCTCTAACACTCCCATAAATCAACATATGAATCTGTTACAATAAATCTTGGTGGTGATGGTGGTACGTTTCTGTGTGGCTAGAGCAAAGAGAGCCTGCAAAGTAAACTTTGTCTTTTTTAGCATAACAATTCATTGGCGTTCCCGTTTTTTTTTTTTTAGAAAATTGCAGATTGAGTTTTAAATTTTAAAGTTGCAGTTCTATCAATTTATGGACTAGGAATTTCTATTCATACTATCAAGAGAAATATTCTACAAAAATTTTAACTTGATAATAAGAATATTAATTATGTTTTTATTATATAAAATTTATTGTTTAAATGTAAATATATAAAATATTATTTTTTTAATGTTGGGTTTTGATATATTCTATTTTTATGCATTTAAAAAATTAAGAACATTAATATTATGGGTAGATGGGACAATAGGGCACAGTATTATAAGATCCCTAAACTGACTGATTCAGTACAGACCCTTTTCCCAATGCGACAGAGGAAACTTACTAAATAAATAAAATAAAAATAAAAACGCTTATTTCTATTAAAATAGTTACATCATAACTTAAATATTTCAAACTTAAAAACTTTATCTCCTTTATTCTGATGTCTTGCATCTATGTAATGTAAACATAGCAAGAAAATAAAGAATAGAAAAAATAAGGGCTAGTAGCATAGGGAGAATAATAATCATTCAATTAATTATTATATATTCCATATTAAATACAGTAACGTATACATTTTTAATTATACAAATAATAACAATTGACCTAGTTTTGACACAAGCCCGAATGTTTAAGAATTACGAAATCTGAAGACCTTCGTGAAAATTAATACAACGAAGCGACACACCATCGCATGTTACATTCCAACACGTGGAACAGTACAGCAGAATCAGCAAAATAAACTAGGAATGTTCGCGGGACATAAAAACTAAAAAAATTGGTCAACCGGCAGTCAGGAATAGCTGGGCACCGTGACTGCCCGCTCAGGCAGT